AGAGAGCAGAGAGGTATGGATTATTGCAGAGTATTCCAGTTACAAAATCCTCTGGTGTGATACAGAGAATGGCAGAATGAGCATTTAGTGTTCGATCTAGGAAAAAGAAGACCAGCAGAGATTAGTCAGATATCCATTTCAAATATTCTTCTTTGCTTTGCAAGAAAAACGCCTCATTTTTTCTTTCACATAGTCTAACTCTGCCAAGCCGACGATGCAGAGATAAGCGTTATCGCCCTGAGGCTCATTTCTAGGCTTAAAGTGTTTGATCACAGCACTGTCTTATAGAAGATCATTATGATGAGGTTCAGATCATTGGGCTGTAATCTACCCAGAGTACTGAATCCAGTTAAACTCTCTGGGAGGGTTAGAACCAAAAATAAATTAAATAAAAAAGACATGGTTTCATGTCTGCTGTTGCTGCAGATTTTGAAAATGTGAAAATTCTTCAGTTTCTCCCTTGCAGCTTAAGGTCATGCATTTGTCCAAATCTTTTCCATCTTTTCCTTTTGTGTTATCACTATAATAACTAGTCATCAAACAGACTTGGCAGCATACAGAGGCTGAAACGCGTCTTCCCAGAGACATAACGGATTTATACAAATGCAAGATTATAACCCATTAAGCATTTCCAATATGTTTGTGAATGCCAAGAAGCCATCTGACACCCCCAAAACTAACCAAAAACTAGTTGTGTGAAACGGACTTTGCTGTGTGGGGCTGTGGAAACAGTGACAGTGTGGGGTTTACTCCTTTTTAATAGCTGTAAAAGAAAATTCCACAAAATAAATCTCCAGTGGCAAAGTCCAAGTGTATTTGCCTCTAGTTTTTGCACTCTGGGCAAAACAGGAAACGTATTATAACAATGTCAGATGTACAGTACATGGGGCAGAAGTTATAAACATCTCTATCAATAAAATGTTTCCAAAACAAAGAAGTAACCCTCAGACATGCCAAACTAAGTTTATACGCATGTTAGAAATGCCCCCTTCCCAGCATTCTCTGTTTCACTTACAGTA